CAACGTAAAGCTGTATATGGTGAAGTCGCGGTTGCCGAAGATGAGGAGGAAGAATCAGATCAAGAGAATGGTCTAGACCAGCCATCATTGGATCATGATGATGAGGGGCCAACTCCTCAACAAAAGGCCTTGCAATATATTCAGGAACAACGAAAACAAAAAGAACTTGAAGCTATTGAAAAGCAACAGAAGCAACAAGAACAACAAGATCCACCAAGTAGTGCTGAATCCAAGACTGCTGAAGATTTGTCAGGTTTGGGTACCGTTCTGGAAGATCTTGTCGAAGAGGAGGAGGAAGAAGAAGAGGTTACTAGCCCTGATGCCATCGAAACTGGAGTCCCTGCCACGGACACTTCCACTACTGAAGCGCCTACTACTGCTGCCGCGGTAGTCAATGACGAAAACGAAGGTCTATCCGAAATGGAAATTCAACGCAAGTTCAAGTCTTAGTCTTTTGACTTCTTCCAATGTAATTTTATATTTTAAGTAATCTTTTTTATTTTAAAATTGTATCAGGCCTCCGGATAATACATACCGCAGCATTGAACACTAATAAAGTTCCCACCAAATCTCACCAAATATGAAGCCAGCCTTGCCTATTTCAAACAAGATCGGAAAGCCTGCCAATCAGAAAATGCTTGGCGTGTCTTCTCCAGCTTGTGACAAGTCAAACATCGTGAAAACACAAGTCCAGCGATTTTTAGAGGGAAACGTGCTGCAGTTACCCTGTATATGAAAAACATGCATGAGGATATTCGCAGTCGCTAATTCAATGATAGCAGTAGGAAAAAGGAGGGGGGAAAGATAATAGTAATCAATGGTCTAGACTAGAGCTTATTCAGTTTCCTTCATCTATTCGTCAAGTAAATTTGTCTTGATAAATTTGTGTTTTGAATTCACAGTCGTAACTAAATGTCTTGATGTCACCGTCGTAACCCAATAACACGGATGAAACGGAAGAGAGTTCTCTGCTATCCTTGTTGAACCCAAAGGTTCTGTTTCGAGAAGTGTTCGCAGAGGGCGACCCGATCCATCGTTTTGGTGGGCTGGATGATTGGATCTCATCGGGTATTTCCCGTGGTCTTGCGAAGTGCAGTCTCTGGAGACTCCTAGATCATCACCACCACTACATCCATCGGATTAGAATAAAGCATCATCTATTCATTCTCATAGTGTGCATCATGCCATAATGACGCTCATTGGCAGATCGGAAAAACAATGATGGATCACAACAAATGACCAAATGACGAGAACAATTTTAAATTGAACTTTATCAAATACCGCGAGTGACTATTCAGGTCTATATAATATATAGAAAGTAAGCCTGAATCCAAGCTGTTTTTATGAGTACAATATTAGTGTTCAATGCTGCGGTATGTATAATCCGCAGCATCTCGAAACAAATCGAGGAACAAGCCTTTGTACCCAGTGAAATAGAAGGAGCGTGGAAACAAGGAGCGTGGAACTAGCTCCCGCCTGAAAGTCTCTGGGTCACGTCAAATATATAAAAATGCATTGAATGATGAGGTGCCGCTGAATTGAATACGTGTGTAAGGTGAAGATGGTAACAGTCACTATCGTATTACGTTGTTGTTGTGAATCGTTGTCGGATTCCTTTTAATTGTGATGTGGATAATTGCATGTTTATCCAAACGGATCGTGAACGTGTTCGCGTGTCGAACCCGTTCCTCGCCAATATATACATTACTTATTGGCCGTGCATGATAGAGAACAAGCTGGACATCTGCTTGTTTCTCTGACTCATCATGCGACATCTACGACATGCCTGACATCAAAACAGAATCGTCGCCTGTCGGCCAATAATGTAATCTTAGTGCCGGTAGGCGGTAGGTTCAAACAATGTTGCCTTTTTTTAGCTGTAGAAAGTCTAACACCAGAACAAAACCCAACGGATGGATGGTTTTTTCCTGCCTGTCCAACCAATAAGCAAGATCTGGTTCTGGCTTCAATGAAACTTATTGCTTGATTCGTAAACCTACTCACCTCCTTGGTTTGAATTCTGTTGCACTAAAACACGAAACACCATCCGAAGATTCTAGCATTTTTGATAATCCACCTTGCCATACGATACGCTGGTGGTTTCATTGCTTGGACTTTGAATCATCCAGTCGCAATACTTTGCTGAATCATCTTGACTTTTGCGCAAACTGCTGAAGGAGCGTCTGAACTATCCCCGCCTAAAGTTTGAGTCTGTCCTGAGAGCATACTCTATAAAGTTTCTGTGGAGTGTGAAGAAGTAAAGCTAACAACTTCAGTTTCAGCATCAGCATCGACGTTTTTCTGAAGAAGCGAGGCCAACACAGCGAACTGACGAGTTATTATTCGTCACCAGTTACAATAGCAAACAAGCCAAACAATGATGGAATCTCCGTATCGTCCACAGCCTCACAACAACGATGCCAAAGACGGCGCGGTGTCTTCCTTATTGCCGGAAGACCAGCCAGAACCAACCTCTCCCAAACCACGTGTATCACCGAGACAGCAACGACGATTTTCTCCATGGGCCGTGGATTTGAATTTGCAACGTGGCGGTACTACTGCTGGTACTGCACCTTCTAGTAGAACGCAATGTTCGACATCTTCCTGGAAAATGAGCATGCAACAACGTAAAGCTGTATATGGTGAAGTCGCGGTTGCCGAAGATGAGGAGGAAGAATCAGATCAAGAGAATGGTCTAGACCAGCCATCATTGGATCATGATGATGAGGGGCCAACTCCTCAACAAAAGGCCTTGCAATATATTCAGGAACAACGAAAACAAAAAGAACTTGAAGCTATTGAAAAGCAACAGAAGCAACAAGAACAACAAGATCCACCAAGTAGTGCTGAATCCAAGACTGCTGAAGATTTGTCAGGTTTGGGTACCGTTCTGGAAGATCTTGTCGAAGAGGAGGAGGAAGAAGAAGAGGTTACTAGCCCTGATGCCATCGAAACTGGAGTCCCTGCCACGGACACTTCCACTACTGAAGCGCCTACTACTGCTGCCGCGGTAGTCAATGACGAAAACGAAGGTCTATCCGAAATGGAAATTCAACGCAAGTTCAAGTCTTAGTCTTTTGACTTCTTCCAATGTAATTTTATATTTTAAGTAATCTTTTTTATTTTAAAATTGTATCAGGCCTCCGGATAATACATACCGCAGCATTGAACACTAATAAAGTTCCCACCAAATCTCACCAAATATGAAGCCAGCCTTGCCTATTTCAAACAAGATCGGAAAGCCTGCCAATCAGAAAATGCTTGGCGTGTCTTCTCCAGCTTGTGACAAGTCAAACATCGTGAAAACACAAGTCCAGCGATTTTTAGAGGGAAACGTGCTGCAGTTACCCTGTATATGAAAAACATGCATGAGGATATTCGCAGTCGCTAATTCAATGATAGCAGTAGGAAAAAGGAGGGGGGAAAGATAATAGTAATCAATGGTCTAGACTAGAGCTTATTCAGTTTCCTTCATCTATTCGTCAAGTAAATTTGTCTTGATAAATTTGTGTTTTGAATTCACAGTCGTAACTAAATGTCTTGATGTCACCGTCGTAACCCAATAACACGGATGAAACGGAAGAGAGTTCTCTGCTATCCTTGTTGAACCCAAAGGTTCTGTTTCGAGAAGTGTTCGCAGAGGGCGACCCGATCCATCGTTTTGGTGGGCTGGATGATTGGATCTCATCGGGTATTTCCCGTGGTCTTGCGAAGTGCAGTCTCTGGAGACTCCTAGATCATCACCACCACTACATCCATCGGATTAGAATAAAGCATCATCTATTCATTCTCATAGTGTGCATCATGCCATAATGACGCTCATTGGCAGATCGGAAAAACAATGATGGATCACAACAAATGACCAAATGACGAGAACAATTTTAAATTGAACTTTATCAAATACCGCGAGTGACTATTCAGGTCTATATAATATATAGAAAGTAAGCCTGAATCCAAGCTGTTTTTATGAGTACAATATTAGTGTTCAATGCTGCGGTATGTATAATCCGCAGCATCTCGAAACAAATCGAGGAACAAGCCTTTGTACCCAGTGAAATAGAAGGAGCGTGGAAACAAGGAGCGTGGAACTAGCTCCCGCCTGAAAGTCTCTGGGTCACGTCAAATATATAAAAATGCATTGAATGATGAGGTGCCGCTGAATTGAATACGTGTGTAAGGTGAAGATGGTAACAGTCACTATCGTATTACGTTGTTGTTGTGAATCGTTGTCGGATTCCTTTTAATTGTGATGTGGATAATTGCATGTTTATCCAAACGGATCGTGAACGTGTTCGCGTGTCGAACCCGTTCCTCGCCAATATATACATTACTTATTGGCCGTGCATGATAGAGAACAAGCTGGACATCTGCTTGTTTCTCTGACTCATCATGCGACATCTACGACATGCCTGACATCAAAACAGAATCGTCGCCTGTCGGCCAATAATGTAATCTTAGTGCCGGTAGGCGGTAGGTTCAAACAATGTTGCCTTTTTTTAGCTGTAGAAAGTCTAACACCAGAACAAAACCCAACGGATGGATGGTTTTTTCCTGCCTGTCCAACCAATAAGCAAGATCTGGTTCTGGCTTCAATGAAACTTATTGCTTGATTCGTAAACCTACTCACCTCCTTGGTTTGAATTCTGTTGCACTAAAACACGAAACACCATCCGAAGATTCTAGCATTTTTGATAATCCACCTTGCCATACGATACGCTGGTGGTTTCATTGCTTGGACTTTGAATCATCCAGTCGCAATACTTTGCTGAATCATCTTGACTTTTGCGCAAACTGCTGAAGGAGCGTCTGAACTATCCCCGCCTAAAGTTTGAGTCTGTCCTGAGAGCATACTCTATAAAGTTTCTGTGGAGTGTGAAGAAGTAAAGCTAACAACTTCAGTTTCAGCATCAGCATCGACGTTTTTCTGAAGAAGCGAGGCCAACACAGCGAACTGACGAGTTATTATTCGTCACCAGTTACAATAGCAAACAAGCCAAACAATGATGGAATCTCCGTATCGTCCACAGCCTCACAACAACGATGCCAAAGACGGCGCGGTGTCTTCCTTATTGCCGGAAGACCAGCCAGAACCAACCTCTCCCAAACCACGTGTATCACCGAGACAGCAACGACGATTTTCTCCATGGGCCGTGGATTTGAATTTGCAACGTGGCGGTACTACTGCTGGTACTGCACCTTCTAGTAGAACGCAATGTTCGACATCTTCCTGGAAAATGAGCATGCAACAACGTAAAGCTGTATATGGTGAAGTCGCGGTTGCCGAAGATGAGGAGGAAGAATCAGATCAAGAGAATGGTCTAGACCAGCCATCATTGGATCATGATGATGAGGGGCCAACTCCTCAACAAAAGGCCTTGCAATATATTCAGGAACAACGAAAACAAAAAGAACTTGAAGCTATTGAAAAGCAACAGAAGCAACAAGAACAACAAGATCCACCAAGTAGTGCTGAATCCAAGACTGCTGAAGATTTGTCAGGTTTGGGTACCGTTCTGGAAGATCTTGTCGAAGAGGAGGAGGAAGAAGAAGAGGTTACTAGCCCTGATGCCATCGAAACTGGAGTCCCTGCCACGGACACTTCCACTACTGAAGCGCCTACTACTGCTGCCGCGGTAGTCAATGACGAAAACGAAGGTCTATCCGAAATGGAAATTCAACGCAAGTTCAAGTCTTAGTCTTTTGACTTCTTCCAATGTAATTTTATATTTTAAGTAATCTTTTTTATTTTAAAATTGTATCAGGCCTCCGGATAATACATACCGCAGCATTGAACACTAATAAAGTTCCCACCAAATCTCACCAAATATGAAGCCAGCCTTGCCTATTTCAAACAAGATCGGAAAGCCTGCCAATCAGAAAATGCTTGGCGTGTCTTCTCCAGCTTGTGACAAGTCAAACATCGTGAAAACACAAGTCCAGCGATTTTTAGAGGGAAACGTGCTGCAGTTACCCTGTATATGAAAAACATGCATGAGGATATTCGCAGTCGCTAATTCAATGATAGCAGTAGGAAAAAGGAGGGGGGAAAGATAATAGTAATCAATGGTCTAGACTAGAGCTTATTCAGTTTCCTTCATCTATTCGTCAAGTAAATTTGTCTTGATAAATTTGTGTTTTGAATTCACAGTCGTAACTAAATGTCTTGATG